AAAAGCGCAAATTGGCTAAAAACGTCCGTCCAGCTCCAGCCGTCAGCTGCGATGGCGATTGGGGAATGAGAGAGAATGGCTTTGATGAGGTTTATGCGCTGCATTCAATCGCAAATTCGTGACAAACCCTACATGTCTACGAGATAGATAGATTGAAGATTACAATGTCTAACTATTTGGTCCTTAAAGAAACTAAAACTAACTACTTCTAAGACCTAACGGCTGAAATCTGTGAGTATTTAAATCCAAAGAAATTGAAATTGAAGGCAGTGAAGACAGCAAGGATTAGTTCGGTACTGCTCTGTCGACACCAATTTCTACATTTCCCGACAAAAGACCCGCAATCTCCAGACTACTTTGAAATTATTATTATATATACTTATGAAACAAAATTTGTATTGACTGACTGATAAGGGATCAACGCACAGCGCAAACGGTAAAAGCTAGGAAGCTGAAATTGCGACTCGAGAAGAAGATAAGAAGCGGTTTTGGAAAATTCGAGCTTCAAAGGGGGAAAACAGGCTCCAAAGTTCTTATGAGAACGCGATTCAAGCGATTGACTTCAAACGTGGTTTTCCAAGAAAAAGAGATAAAGAAGTTTACAAATATTAACTAACTGAGATGGTACAAGTATAATTGATTAAGTAGCTTATACATTTATCATACAAGTATAAGGAGTTTTTCGATTTTGTGGGATGTTTTTAGGAGTAGTATATTTTTATATGTTATCTGGGTTGAGGTTACTAAGGAGGTTTAGGGGTTTGTGTTGCTGAATATATACTGTTTGATATGGGTAAGAGCTGGACACGAATTTAGTATGTGGGATATGGTAGTGTTATTATCTTTACAACACAGTCAATTACTAAGTAAGTTCTCGATGCAAATTGTACCGAAATGGGTTTTTCACTCAATGATATTACGGAGTCACCACATCTTTTATTTAGGCTTGGAATGAAAATATGATAGGATACGACTTCTCAACTTCAATAAATATGAAGCCATCAACTTAGTAGATTTAGAAAGGTGTTTAAAGTATTCCTTAGAGTCCTTACAGAAATGGTAGGCATAAGACTCCTTTCAGTGCTTCTTGTCTGCCTTGTTCGAAAGTGTCTTTAAAATTGTCCTCATACGAGTGCACGTTACAGGATCGGTAACTTAAAAGCTCCCTTTCATTGCTCGTTCTCTGTATTGCTCGTCATTTTACGGAAATTAATTGATATTTTTAAGCATATCCAATTATTTGTTTAAACAAAATTGTGGTTATTCGTATAAACCCTCTCTCTCTCTCTTTCTCTGGCTGTGTTGCTTGCTCTCTGGGCCTCAAACGAAAACAAATCTTTGTGCTAAGCAGTCAGCTTCACTGGCCCGCTTATCGACTGGGCCAAGAAGCGATGAGCCGAGTGCAGCAGAGCTTAATTTACGCTTAAAGTGTGCAGGACTTGTTGGCAGGGGGAGATGTTGGCAGTGCGGGGCATGGGAGACATGGGGTGAGTGGAGGGAGTGGAGGGAGGAGGTGGCAAGCGACTGAGCGAGCGAGTGGCTAACCATAAAATGCATTATTATGCTAAATGACTATAAAAATCACGTTTACAATCCATTTATGCCCGGGATAATAACCCATCTCTTTCGAACTGGCCGGCCAGCCAGCCAGCCAGCCAGCCATTCAGGCAGGCAAGGAAGCTGGAATGGCTGGCGAATGGCTGGAGGGAGGGGTAAGATAAGGGCAGGGGGGAGACGCTTGGCTAAAACCCTGAAAGGCAGCATTTGTTTACGCCGCGAATAATTGAGTTATCTGATCCCTGCTAGCCACAAGACAGATACAACAAAACGTACAAAACGAGCGGCGAATGTGGAGAGCAACAAAGCTGCGAAGACAGGATTGTAGGAGGGGAGGGGGAAGGTAGAAGGTGGAAGGTGGAAGGGAGGACAACATGGACAACATGGACGCCGCCGTTTTGGCACACATGTCAGGGCGGCGGACTGTAAACGAGGCTGGCTAGGCTAAGCTGATTGTTGTTGTTGTTGCTGTTGTTGCATGTTGCAAGTAGGTGTGGCTGCCTTTGCCGGGGCCACGTAGCAAATTGTTGGGGCGCATTAGAAGGCAGCGCCGCCCCCTTTGCCCAACGCCAAGGCTTGGTTATAGCCAAGCGAAGCCAACTCAGGTCTGGCAGGCAAGCAGGCAGGCAGGCAGGCAGGCAGGCAGTTGGAAGTTGGCAGTTGGTAATGACTTTATTTGGTTGCCGTTGCTGCGTTAATGGGGCGCAGTCGTCGTTCACTCCTCTCTGCTCTGCTCTGCTCTTCCCTTTCCGTCTCTATCGGGCCCGTTTCGTCCCATCCCATCCCAACTCCAGTCGAGTCGAGTCGAGTCGAGTCGAGTAGAGTCGACTCGGCGCAAATTGAAAGCGCATTTCAAAATTTTTCACACCTGAAAATTATTTCGTTTCAACTGGCTGACTGATGCACAGCGGGTGGTGGCGGTGGTGCGGCTGCGGCTGCGGCCGCGACTGTGGCTCTGACTCTGGCGGTTGCAAGTGCAGCAAATTTTTTGTAGAGGCTCTCTTCTTGTAGCGCCGTCGCCGCCGACTCCGCATGCCAAAAGGTGCCGACGCTGACGCCCGAAATGATGGCCGAAATGCTCGAAATGCGGCTCGAAACGGCCGCTCTCGCAATTAATCAAAATTTAATTTCAAAACGACGTCAACGTTGACGGCGACGTCAGCATCGATGCCGCCGCTGCACTTGAAGTGAAGGCAGTGAAGGCAGCAGCGCAGCATTATTATTGAATATGCTCGACTAAAGAGAAAACCTGCAAAAGAAAATGTAATTAATCACTACACTGTTGCGCTATTGTTGTTGTTGCTGTTGTTTTTCATTTCGAGAACAAACGAAAAGCCACAATAGCGGCAACGCCAGCGCCCCAAACAGAGTTCAGGTTCGGCAATTCATCCACGCGAGCCACCCCAACCACTCCAGCCGGTCATAGTTATAGATCGCCCGTCAGAGCCCGTTTTAAATAATAATCAGCACTCTGCTCCTCAAGAGATCAATCTAAAGCTTCGAACAAAAGACTTCTCAGCTCTGAGAAAATGGTTGAGACGTGCACTTCAAAAGTAGTCCTGAGGATTTTTAGGAGCTGCTGGTGAAACAAGATCTTGATAATAATTTCAAATTATTTTGAATAACTAGGGAGCACCTGTCCAATACATTTGTGAAATGCCCAAAGCCAAGTGAAGCAAATCGTAACCGAAACCGCAACCATAACCAGAACGGATATTAAGAAGCCCTAACAATTTCTACAGGCTAAAAAAAGAAACCATGTCAGAACTGTACTATTCTAATCGTGTTGATACCCACTATTTTCAAAACAAAATCTCATATAATGTGCTACTCTTTTAACACATTAGATAGCAATTTTTTGGATTCAGCAAAATGCAGTCCATTTTTGTAGTAAGTCAACTTTATTGTTATAATTCGTAAAGTTATGGTCACAATGATTAATCTAGTAATGCCTTTTAGATCGTTTCATTTGTGAAATAAATTGTGTTAAAAATGAATGCCAATAAGCAATAAACCGCGGTCAGACCTGCAAATATTTTGCACGCAACACACGTCGAATTCTACAATCATGTCAATTCAATTACTGAAAATTAACAGAAATTCTATACTAAAATGCAATTTTCTGCTACAACAAACTTTTTCGGAATTACTTTGCAAAGCTTACGAGAAAAATAACACAAATTTATTTGCAAATTGTTTGTGGCTGGAATTGAGAATAACGTTTCAGGCGCCTTTTCGGTTCTGACAATTCCATTCGACCTGAAAGATGTAGCTCGAAAATCGCGGAAAGGATTGACCAAAGACTTACTATAGAACAACTGTCCCAATAACAAACTCAGAACGGATCTAGGCAGGATGTAAGATATCCCTCCATCACTTTGTTGAAGCCTCATTTAATATACTTGTAAAACCTGTTAATAATTGATGTGTTTCTTCATAAGTGTTTCCATAAAAAATGTTACAAGCAAAATGAATAAGCTACTTGATATAATATATATTATTTCCTTATTTAACATGTGTAACTTAGAATTAATCCTTAATCACAAAATTTGATTATAAACCAAACTTTTTAAATAATTTCAGGGCTGCATTGAAGGGAATGCTGCAGCGACGCGCTGTGCTCGTTTCGCGGCAAAACCCAATGATTAGCGGTCAGAATTTGAAGGGAAGTTAGCCAAGACATCAACCTAGTGGTGGGCAGTGCAGCGTAGCCGAGACACACTCCCGCTGACACACATCACTAGCTGAGAAAATCAATAATTGCATTGCGCTGGCCTTTTAGCAAATTCGAAGGACTTGCAACACTAATTTGAACATCCAGTTAGCCAAGACATTTACCCAGTACTGGGCAGTGCAACATAGCCGAGACATTCCACCATTGCATAACCTTTTAACCCATGAACTGAACTGTGATTTGTCGTTGCAATAAAGAGGCAGCAATTTTGTTATTTTGTTGTATTTTTATTATTAAAAATGTTCTCTTTTATATTGCTGTTTTTTTTTTTTTTTTTTTGAATTTACTGCCACCTTCTGCATCGTCTCGCATTCGAGTTGCTGCCTCTGCTCTCGCTCTCTCTCTTTCTCTCTGTGGTGTTGTGGTCTTTGCATTAAATTTGTTGCTTTTCCTTTTGAGTTGTATTTATGTTTTCTTCTCTGTTCGTTATATATAATTTCATAGACAAATAATTGTTGTATGCATTATGGGTTGTTGTTGCTTTAAATATTTGCTCGCTGTTCAATTTTATTTGTTTTTGGAAAATCAAACATAATTTTGGGATTCTGCTCTCTCTCTTTCTCTCTTATTTTGTTGATTTGTTTGTTTATAAAAATAAATACATATGTATGCCTACATGTATGCCAAAGGTAGTTTTAATAAAATTAAAAACAATACACAATTGCAAATAATAATTACAAAAAAAAAAAAAAAACGGAATTCCATTCACTTAAAACATAATAACAAAAATACAGAAAGTAATTAAAAACAAAATTAGTTAACAATTGAGAAATGAATTGTACATTTCTAGTACGTTATTTGCATGCATGGGTTGGTTCTCCGGTTGTTGTTGTTGTGGTTGTTTGGTTTGTTGTCGTTCATTCATTAATTTTTGAGCACATCAACTAATTATATGAAATACATACATAATTAATATTACATAAACATTTATATAATATGTATACGTACTATATGCTTGTTAAGATTTACATAATGTTGTGTTCGGTTCTGTTCTGTTTGCTGTTTGTTGTTGTTTTACATTACAGTGCAACAAAAACTTTGCACACACGCCTATTGAGCAAGAGTTGAGTTGTGAGAAGTGGAATACTCTTCCTTCCTTCCTTCCCATATTCTAACGTTTCACAATGACAATTAATTATGTATATGTATTTGTATTTGTTTTTATATGCATAATAATAAGTCACAATTCACAATTTTTGCGCATGTTTTATAAAATCACAGCTAAAGGCAAGCATTCAATTTAAATTCAATCTAATTCAAACAAAAACAAAACGAATACAAAAACAAAAACCATTCGAACTGCGCTCAATAATTGTGCGCAAAGTTTCAGATGTTCTGTCCTCCTCCACTTCCTTCTCCTCCACCGTTTGTGTGTGTCTAGGGAGTGTCTGTGTTTGTGTGTGGTGTGTTATGCTTATGTACATCTGTTCTCTTGTCCCTCTTCTCATTAATTCTCATTTTTATTTTCTTTACTTGACTACGCGATATTAATTATAATTGTGTTTTGTTTTGTTTCGCTTTCTCATTAAATAGTCAATATTTTATAGTATAGCACCGAGTACAAAAAATGTTCAATAAACAAAGTGTTTTTTGCTCTTCAATTTTGTGTGTTAAAGTGTTCTCTTCTCATCTCTTCTCTTTCCTTTCGATTCTCTTGCATTTTGTTGGTTTCTGCGCATCAAATGAACTGTTAATGGTGAACGCTTTCGCTTTATGCTTTCGCGCCTGTCAAGCTTTAACGCATTTCCTTTAAATTCTACTACTTATGTAATTTAATAATTTCTTTTGCTTTCGCTTTTGCTTCTCCGTTCGTTTTGTTTCGTTTCCCCTTATCTTATGCAAGTCAATGCAAGTCGCCATGCAAGCATTTCTTCTCTTTCTGCTCCCATCCGTCGTCTTCCTATTTGGATATTACATGGAGCCATCACCGGAAATCTGTGCAACAAAATGTTTCGAAAGGATTAATTATTAGTATTTTATATTTAATAGAAATTCGACATTAATTCATGTAGACAAAGAGATGTATTCTCCAATTACCGGTTAACTTCTTATCCAATAAATAGCCACAAACTGATATGAAGACGACTTTTTTCAGGAATTTAAAACGATATCTTTTCTTTCTTATATACGATTCTTTTCTATTACATTATTGAAGAACTCGAAGTAAAACTTTTGATTGATTTCCTGGTATAAAAACAATAGAGCTGATGATACTCCCAAATCAGTATTATCCACTGACTCTTCGTCTGAACTTAAATGATTTTGTTTATAAATCAAAAGCAAAACAGGGGCGCAAATGAAAAAATTACTAGGGAAAATACTGCTGATACGGATTCTAAAACTTTGCCCCCAAATCTCATTGTCACTACGAAGAAGCGATGAGAAACTACTAGATTATAAAAATATGTTCCCAAATCTCATTCTTACAACGAAGAATGTCCGGTCTAAGAGTATCACAAACCTGTCTCGGTTGAATTCGATTCCAGCTCGAATTCGAATCGAAAATTGGACTGTGTATGTCTCCCCCCAACAAGTTACCAGAAATATTTCACTGCGCAATGATTTCAAGTGTCAGAATAGCTCAGATTTCCAGTTTTGTATTGTGATCGGGGCCAATAGATTGTTAGGAACTCACCTGCGAGTGTGAGCTGTCGCTCTCCACCTGCTCGGAGTAGCAATGCTTATAGTTAAGATAGTCTAAAAGTCTTCTTGGTAATGGCAATGTCTGTATTAGATCCTTTCGTATAACTGCTTTTAGTATAACAAATCTGTCAAATCGAGAAATAACACAAAATATCAGATAGGAATACAGTTGGCATACGTTCAGGACGCGATCTACTGACCTGCACATGTGCTGCAAACTTTGTACATGCTTAAATCTAGATACTGGATTGGTTAATTGCACTCGCATTGGTCCATGTTCCGGCCGGCGATGCAGAAAGAATAAATATCTGCAATGCAAAGAATTTTGGGAATCAGAGGACAATGACGATTCGATCTCGATGTAGAGATAGAGATAGACGTACCTGCCGCTGCGCGAATGCTCGACAGCCTTCTCAATGAACTCGGTTATAGTTTGAGATTTGAACTTCGCATAGGAGCCGAACGAAAATGTACCTGCAAAGACAATAAAACTAATTTAGTAAAAAATACTTAAAATACGTTTTTTAATGTCTACTTTAATACATTATCAGTTCATCATTTACGTATATATGATATATGTAACTTCCTAACTCACCCTGATCCTGCTCGATGCGCACATGACGCACACAATTGTTTAGCTTGAAGCTCAGTGAGAATATGTAATGATCGTCTGAGCTGTCGCGGACAATAAAGGAGCCGTCTGGCTCATTGGATAGCACCTTCTCAGCGGCCTCACTGGACAGCGGACCCCAATACCAACCGTACTGGAAAAGGAGGAGAACGATTGCAGATACTTAGATGATAAATAACTCTCAGGTACTACTCACGTCTTTGACTTTCTCAATGCTTGAGGTAAATTGCAGCGCACGCGGCTCAGACGCTGCTTTCCTTTGCTCCAGATCCTGCGCAGGCTCAGCGGCATTAATGGCATAAGCTGAAAACAAAACGAAAGAAGAAACAATAAGTTATATGTTTTTCAAAACTATTCTAGGTACGGGAATAATTTAACTTCTAAGTAACTTTCAAAATTCATTTCATCTATAGAAATTGAAAGCTTTTCCATCCTAAGCCAATCATTTCTTTATTATATAACATCTCTCTAATCAATTGTACTTATTAAACAATTTTCGTATCGGTTATCTAGTTAGTTCTGCTAGGAGCGATATTTCACCGATTTGGCAGTTATATGAAGGCTTAATATAGTTTGTAATAAACTGGGCCTAGATAGGGAAAGCTTACATGCACAATGCCTTGTCTCTAGCTTTTATGGCTTAAAATATTCCAGGTTCATACAGATGGATATAGATAAGGATGGATGGTTATAGATTATAGTAAGGTGCCCTTAAAATGAGGTCTGCTTCGCTATAAGAAACTTTCTAGTATTTCCCATTTATATATTTATAATTCACTAATTCACTGTGAAAGGTATTTACTTCGAAATAATGTAGTAATATACAACAGAATACTTCGATCTATTCACAAGTATAAACATTTTTAGTAAAGCATTGAAAAACTCTCACTTCTCAGCAAAGATTCGCGATGTAAGAAATGTTTGAAATGATCTATCAATCTTTTATCAGACCTGTTCTCATTCTCGGACTCCAACAACCTATTCACAACCTAAATGAGTAAATATTGAGAGAATTTTGTTCCACTGGCGACTTCTTAAACCGTGTTTGAGATTTGGAAATTTACGAATTTTAACTCCACTAAATTCGATCGATCATCTACAGATTAGAGAGTCGTTAGTTAATTGAGGTGCCGTACTTACCCTTCTTTGGCAATGGTGGCAAGGCGCGTGACTGAAACTTTTTACGCAGATCTGCGGCTCCGTGCTCCACATGGCTGCGATTCAGACAATTTTGCGCCTCCTCCGTATCTGTGGTCGCTGTGCCGTTCGAGGCGGCAGCAGCAGCAGCAGCGGCGGCAGCAGCGGCGGCCGCTGCTCGGCAGCGACTGTGGTTGCGACGAAAACGGAAAATGCTGCAGAACTTCTGCTTCAGATTAAGCGTAAACTGCGACTTCTTTTCGGTGTGCAGGACATGCTTGTTGTTCGGCTGCTCCTGGAGCTTCTCTGTCGCGGAGAGCTGTTGTTGCTGCTGCTGTTGCTGTTGCTGTTGGGGCAAGGGGGCTTGTTGCAAATAGTTGCTGACATTTCCCAGCGTATTGTTATTGTTGTTAAGCTTGTCGTTGTCGAGATTGTGTTTGCTCTGTTTGCTGAGATATTTGTTGTTGTCGTTGCCGGCGGTGTTGTTTGTGGTGGTTGTGGTGCTGGTGGTGGTTGCTCGTGTGTTGCCGCCAACGCTGCTGCGCGTGCGCGCCGTCGTTGTCGTTGTGTTGGTCGAAATGCTCCAAATGGTCTCATTGGAGCTCTTCACGCCGTTCACCAAAGGCATCTTGCCCGCCACTTGCGCCTGCAAGCCGTGGTGCAGCGAATTGGCCGCCGATGTCGAGGACATGCCCATGGATGTGGTTGACTTACCCGCATCCGAGTAGAGCGTGTGATAGAATTGTTTCACCTCGTTTAGAGTCATGTGGAGCGGTTCGTGACGTTCGTTTTCGCTGTGAAATGAGGCGATGCCGCTACCAATGCCACCTCCAACACCTCCGCTGGGCAGCGCATTGGTGGGGATGCGGTACTTGCCATGCTTGCCCGTCTTCTCCCCGCCACACTCGTCGCTCGTCTCGTGCGTGCTTTGGGCGCCACCATGCCGTTGTTTGCGCTTATTCCGCTTATTCCGCCTGCCCGCGCCGGCTCCCTTCCCGGAGGCAACAGTCGTGTGATAGCTCGACGATTGCTTGCCGCCGGAGTTGATGTCTAGCTCGAGGTCGCGCTGCTCCCGCTGCTGCTCGATCATGTCGACGGGGAAGGCATAGATGTCCGAGTCGATGGGCACATTGTAGAAGTCGGATATCTCGCGCGTGAAAAGCGCATCGTGCGACATCGCCTGAGTGATAAAAATGGAGTCGTCCGGCTTGTTCGCCGACGACACATTCAGCGAGTTGTGCGAACTGCTCAGCCGGCTGTTCAGAGAATTACGCGAGTTCGGACGCTGGCCACACCCATGGGCATGGTGATGATGGGCATGAGCATGGTGCGTGGCATGATGATGATGATTGGGGTGATAGTGACAGTGGCTGTTGTGGCCCAGCGGACTGTAGAGGAGCTGCCGTCGCTGCAGACTGCTCTCCTGTTGCCGCTTCGCCCCATAGTACAGATCATAATCATGTATTTCCGAGAGACCGGCGCTATTGAAGCGCTGTTGGGCCGCCGCAGCTGCTGCCGCCGCCTTGGCGCTCGCAATGCTGTCCTGCTCTGTGGGTATGGCCTTGAAGTAGCGCGTGTGATCCTGATAGTATGGACACAGCGTCTGCTTGATTTTAATTATCGAGACAGGTGGCGGTGGCGAGGGCAAAGGCGATGAAAATGATTGATCCGACTCATCAATGATGTCCACACTGTTGCCCAGCGAGCTGCTGATTATATTATTGGGCTCATCGTATATGTTGTCCGTGTGACTGTTCAGTATGGAATCGCTCGAGTACAGATGCTTGTTGATGGCGTACGACTCCTTCAACGTACGCTCCTGACAGCCATTGAGCAGCTGCTGTTGCTGCTGCTGCTCCCGATTGCAAACGCCCCCATCCAATTGATCCAAGCACGACGGTGGACTCTCCGTCATGCCGGCTACGCCCACGCCCATGCCCATGCCGACGCCGGTGGCCAGCACCAACACCAGCTCGTTGTTTACATTGCCCGCCGCCGCTGCCGCTGCCACGGCGCTCACCATAGTCACATCATCGCCGGCACTGCCGCTGTAGTCCTTTAAATGCTCGAAGGATGATTGCGAAGAAGTCCAACGACGCAAGCTATTCACAATATTCTTCGAGATGGAACGTACCAGGGTCGTCTGTGGCGAGTCCTGAAACTCAGGCGGTGGATCAATGGGCGCCAATGGGCCCTTTTTTAACGTATTAAAATTCTCGGCACTCATCCCGCCTTCCGAGCAATTGTCCAGCGAATCGAACTGCGACACCTCGCCATCGCTCTCGACCATCTGCAATCCAAAGATAAATGCAACCACAAATTAGTTAAAAAGCTTACAATCAAACCAGTACTCGTAGGACTGTCACAGAAATAGATGTTAACTTAAGTTACCACCTTTTTTATAAGTTGGAGAGAGTTTCAGAAATCAAAATGTTTTTTCTAAACTAAAAATGTGCTCTTCGAACAGTAGAGTAAAGAAATTGAAAGTTGATTAGTCAATGCAAACCACATTTCATCAGGATAATCTTAGCATGGGAGAGGTATACCTGCTGGTTCAATAAAACGCTAAGGCAGAAATGTGACGTTTACTCCGATAAATATAATACCAAATTGGCGTTTAAATTATCTTGTATTTAAGTACAGAAACTATTTATAACATGATGAAAGAATGCAGGTAAGACTGATTGGGGGCTTGCCTAGGCCGGCTATATGGAATAGTTATTCACTATTCACTATCGTAAATCGAAAGTAAAGATGATTTCAGGAGACATATAAGAAATGCTCACAACAAAATGGTGACTTTAGTTTTGATAGTCTCCGAAAGCAAGAGGTTCATACAGACAGACAGACGAATGTTGGTGCTTTAAAGTTTAAAGCATATCTTAATCAGTCTATACAATATTTTGGGATTGCAATGGTCCCAACAGTTTTGAAAGTCAACTTTTTGTGACACTCCCGGCTAATCCGATTGATCACTCACCTCGATTTCGAACTTGCACATGCCAATGCGGTAGGAGTCGCCACTAGATATGGAGCTGTTGGTGGTCAGTGGGACGCCGCTGTCATCGCTCAGCGAGGCCGCTGCGTTCAGTTCGATGCTGTTGGCACTGACCAGCTCGTGATGAGGCGGTGGCATAATGCTGAAGCTGTCACTGCTGCAGATGGAATGCGCTGCTGCGACGCCCACGGCGACGCCGCTGCCAACGTTGCTGCTGTTGTTGTTGGTGGCATTGCAGTTGTTGGTGTCCTTAAGCTTAATGGACGATTCCATGGTGTGAGAGGCGCACGTTCGAAGTGCTGCAGAGCCGATGAGAACCAAAAAGAGAGAAGAGCAAGAGAGAGAGGGTAAGGACGAGGGTTATGCATGGATCACTGCCTGTCTGGATAGGATGTTCATTTCCATTGATGACGCACTGCACTATTCGTGGATTGCCCCATGACCTTTACGTGGGTGTCTGAGTGTGTGTGTGTGTGTGTGCATGTGTGTGTGTAGGATATGGAAATGTTATCTGCAAGGGTGCGGCGCACTGATTGCAGTTGAAGGTCAATGACAGTTGTGCGTTTCGTTATGTTTTGCTTGGCGCAGTTTTCTTTAGCACTATTTTGCGTTTTAGTAGTAGATTTTGGGCGTATTTTATTCCTTTTGCTACTTTTACGTACAATAACCCTTTGCGATGCATCAAATTGCACACACACACACACACACACACACACAAACACACACATTCACATACTCGGACACAGTCAAACATTTGAGTGCGTAAAAAATGCTGCTGTGTGTAGTACGCTACAAACACACACACACACACACCCGCACCCGCACACACATACACATTGATGGCGCGTTGATAGCTTTTACACGCCCACCAACGCAGCTAACGTAAAACGCTGGGCGGGCGGCAGAACAGCGACAGAGCAGCAGCAGCAGCGCAGAGAAGCGTCAGGAGCCTAGAGGAATAGCCGGAAAAGCAACGATGTCGTTGTCGGTGCTGCTGCGACTCCTTCGTAGAATCTATTCGTCCCTCGTCGTTGCTGTCGTCGTCAGCGTCGTCGTTTTCGTAGTAGGTGGCATAGTAGTTTTTTTTATAGCGCTCTTATCTTTGCCGCCGCCGATTTTAACATTTTATTTAAGGACATTTTTCAAGCAATGCAGGTGAGTGTGTGTGATTATGTGTGCATACATATACGAGTTGAGCTGCCAACGAAATGCAACAAAAATTCTTATTAGAATTTTGACACTTTGTATACACACAACGCACTAGCGCGCACACACACACACACACACACACACTACATACATACACACGTAACACCTTTGCTTAATTTAATTATTGCTCTCCTGGCTCTCGCGTACACACGCACACACACCAACACACGTAGCCAGACACCAACACACACGAACACGCGCGCACAAATATACAAACGCATTAGCATTCATTACAACAATTCACAAAGTGGAGGCAAAGCGTTGGGTCGTCGTCGGCCTTGCAGCCCAAACATGCATACCATTTTCTAATGCACTTGCCTTTTTGATTTTTATGGATTGCACAATTTACTTAATATTCACTTTAATAAACCCATTATGATTCGCACACATTGCTGTTTCTGTTTCTCGTCGTTTGTTGGAGCGGCCATAAGTGATGACAGTTCGTGGGGCTAGCGATGCACCATCGATCAATCGATGCAACAACGGCCTTGTTATCGAGCACGGGCGATAACGCGCTCGACCGATGATAAGTGCACCCAGTTGTCTCACACTAAGTTTGCCGTTTTACAGCACTGCAAATGTGGCGCGAATTTTTGAATCTAACAACTTGCCGTTACTATTAATTCAATTTCAATTTCGTTATGTTGTCCTACCTAAACACTGAATGTATTCCCATATCATAGCACAGTAGTTTCTTCACACACTGGTGCATTATTGTTTTTTTGTTGTTTGTGTCTCACGCAACTTTCGCGGATACAACCTTCGGCTTGGGTCAAAACCTCGTTGCGCCAGCCAACAAGTTGGAGTTGAAGGCGTGTTATGTCCATACACACATACATATGTATGTATGGATGTATGGGCATATGTATGTCTGGCTCTGTTGACAGAGGCGTCGCGTATTTGGCGTTGACCGCAACGGTCACCTGTTACTTTCACTGCCTGTTGTTGCTGCCAGCGAAAAGACAACAACACGTTTCTTCTGTTTGCTCATAAACAGACATTGTGCTCATGCCCATAACATTAACATTTCAAAATTCATAACTATATGAATACAAGTAGTTGCTTCCAAATACATATGTACATATGTATGTATGTATGTTTGTGTGTATGTGTGTACAAATAGCAATACTCGATCAATAATCGGCGCTCTTTGCATAAATTAGCAATTCTGTGCGCATTTCTTTAAGCGCGCCGCGGATAGCGGAAATAATTTCACTTAACTCGCCGGTGGCTCTCACTTTCGTCATCGAAAATCAAAAATACAAGCGACCAAAAATTAAGAAATGCAGAAGACGTGGCTGGTCGCATTAGCAAATTTTTAATAATTGCTTAAATGTTTACAATAATAAAAAAAAAAGTGAATTAAATGCGTGCATACATAATAGGAGCAGCCGCTACAACACAACAACAACAATAATAGCAACAACAACAACTAGTCGTTGCTCTGGAATGCAAACGGCATGCGAAAAGAAAACGAAAAAGTTGCTGCGACAACTACAACACCAATGAGAATTGTCGCTCGTTTTGATCCTGTTTGCTGTTTATTTTTGTTATCTAGGTAACACTAACACACAGACACCCAAATGTTGTTGTTATTGTTGGTAGTGATGCTGTCGGGCAGACAAGCGCAGAGGCAGAGACAGAGTCGAGACTGTCACGCACTGTCCGCTCCCAAAAACTGCAATCGAGCAGAAAAACCCACGCAATAACAAAAACCCAAAATAGATAATAAATTGATGTTGAAGAAAAACAGCAATGGCAACAACAAATGCACAGCATGCCAATCCAACACAGACAGAAACACACACACTCTCGCTCACATACCCAAACACAAGAGTCAAACACATGCTGTGTTTGCCTTGTTTACCTGCGCCTGCGTCGGCGTCGCTAGCAGCAGCGACAGCGATGTCTACCAAATGCAAGCAGCGCAGTCGCAGCCATTGTATTTTTTATACCCTCACGTCATAGGTTATAGCTGCTTAGTTATGATCTTTAGCGGCACACATTATTTCGTAAGTATTTAATCAATCTCGTTAAATTTGTGATCAAAATATTTACCTGAATAACTATTTATTAACTGACAATTACCAATCACCATTAAAACAAGATGCCATAAGTATTTTATCCATGTGCCTGCTCAAGTTATTTTTTATGGTTTATATGTGATGGACATATTTATCTGGACTTCGATTGGAGTTATTTATCCGAAATAATGCCCATTAGAGTATCAGTATAGAAATGGGGTTAATTATCCTAATATTATCCTATACTAACTCAAAGGGTATTACAACGTCAGTCAGTTAACACGTTAAAGAAAACGTCACAGATCCTATGATGGAGGTATGTACTTGACGAATCAACTGGACATACAAATATATGTATTTACGTCTATGTATGTAATGTAAATATTTTCTATGATTGTAGGAAACGTTTTTGTTTTTTCTTTCCTTCTCCTATTTCACCACAACATTTCACTGACGAAGCCAGCGTTTAAAAACATTTGTTTATTTTTTGAATATGCTTGCAATAGCATTCTGTTCTAAATTTGTTCTAAATTTAAAATAAATCGACTGCATATAATAAATCAGACCAGTAAAAAGCAATCAGTAACTATTGCGGAGAAAAATGGCCCTAATGCTGACTTCAAGTCGATTTAGAATTCAACTTTAATATTCTCCAATTCGGTATCTTTAACAAAATACGTATTCGGATTTCGGATATAACTATTTTTGAAATACTGAAATTCTTGCGAACAAGAATTGTAGAATTTACACAAAAAAGTTGTTATATTTCGTAGCAAAGTACAAATTATTCATTGGTACGTGAATTTTAATTTCACTAACAGCTATTCTTACTTGTTTATTGTTTGAAATACATACATACATTGTATAGCATAACTAAAGTGTCGGCTTACAGCTGTGAAATAAAATAAGTAAATAAATGCTCCTATTGCCTGATTTTTCTACAGCGTACTTCGTACTTCCATGCCCAAAAAATAAACAACAGACTTCGAAATAAACGAAATATTAACAGCTTCTGCTTGAAAACAACAACAACAAAAACTACAACAATGGATCAGGCCGAATGATTTCTTATCCATCAGGTACCAAGTACCAGTCAGTCGCAGTCGCCGCGACCCGGTTGCATTTTCCAGCCTCAAACCTGCAGTGAATCCTCCTTAAGTCGGCCGCTTAATGTAATAATTAAGCAATAAATTGTGTTTTCACAATCGCTTCGTCGAACAAAATTCAAAAAAAAAAGGAGATTCAAATAACAAAATTAATGGAAAAGTATCATCTGGAAAGTCAGTGTTTATTTATTTATTATTATTATTAATTCCTAGTGATTTGATTAGCCTACTTAACCTATTTATATTAGATACTTGTACATTTTAGTTATACATAAATTTAAAGTGATTTTGGTTTTATTATTATTATTATTATTATTATTATTATTATTATTATTATTATTATTATGGTGGTATGGGTGCGAACATACAAGGTAAAGCACTGATTGCTATCCACTTGGGGATAGCCAGTTTCGCGATCCTTGTCACTGTTCAAACCAAGTTGTCACACGGCCTCCACGAGGCGCCACTGGATAGCTACTCAACATCCGTTGATAGCGAACTGACTGTGTGTACAGCGACATCAAAACCGAGACCAGTAAGGTTTTGATTATGGTATACTGGACCGCGACCCGAAATTGAAGAACACGAGCTGACATCTGCAGTATTCTGTTACCTCAGTACACAGGAGTGAAATCCTGTCGAAATGGCTCTCAGGCTAATGCTGCAGGTGCCTCCGTCCCACTAAAACCTAGCAAGCCTTCAAGTACGTTCGATGTCTCGTCGCCATTAAGTTGGTGGTATAGGCGCAGTTGAGTATACTCCTGCCTAACACCCGCCCCGGCACTGAACACAGAATCCCATAAGGACCTGTGTCAACCCTAGCGTGGCCTCCCTGCATGCATAGATAACCACGGGGGCATAAAAGGGAACTATACTTTCGAACATCGATAGCGGCTTGAAGTTGGGACCAAATTGAAAAGATGACCACAAAAAACAATGATGCACCAGCCGAGAAGACGGGAGATATTGGGATGGAAGACGAGGCTAGCGTCTTCCAGAAAAAGAGCAAAATACTCCGATCGCCAATTAACACGAGCATTCAAGATGCAGCCAACACACCCTCGATTACACCCGTATTCGCTGTAGCAGGTGGGTCACAGCCTCAAAAATCGGTTGGATCCCCTAGCCTACAATTTATTTCCAAGATGAGAGGAAAGGAAGAAGAGGCTATTGCTAATATTAAAAGAGTACTTCGTACAATAAAAGCGGCAATGCAAAAACAGAGAAACATTAATATAAATGTAAAAGATGGAGTGCAGGAAATAGATGAGCTACTATGTATTGCTGATACGAGCAGATCCAGCTGGATGAAAGTAGAAAACGAAAGACAGAGCAAAGCACCCATCCACAGAGCCCCCAATAACGATGAAACTTGCAATATCAAAAGGCCAAATAATTTAGATTCTGAAAGCAATGCGACGCCGGTATCAACTATCCATAAAAGGATGGCTACAAGTCCTGCGATGCAAGACTCGAACAAGAAGCAAAGAAGTAAGGAACCGGAAGCCGAGTTTCAGACTGTATCCCGAAGAAGAGGAAAGCCGAAAAAGGAAAAAGAAGGCAAATTAACCCAAAAAAACGAAGCTGGTCCACACAAAGGAACAGATGCCAGAAGACGAACACGAACTCGTCCAGATGCAGTCTTGGTCAAGCCAGCCGAAGGCAAAACTTATGCGGAAGTGCTAAAAGACCTACGTAAAAATATCAAACCAGAGGAAGCTGAAAGCGCCATCCGCTCAGTTAGGAAGACCAAAGCTGGAGACATGCTTCTAGAACTGGCAAAAGGAAGCAAAACCCAAAAACTGCGCGATACCATCCAAGGTATGTTGAAAGAGACAGCTGCTGTCAAGGCTCTTAAGCCCGTAGCAAAAATAGAGATACGGGACCTAGATAGCCTCACTGAAGAAGGGGAAGTCGAGTCCGCCATCAGAAAGATAATTGACGATACTGACCAAGACATCCGGGTGCGCATGACTGGTGTGAACAGCTCAGAACAAAGACGCGCTTTTGTCACTCTATCGACGGAGAATGCAGCCAAAATCCTAAGGGAGCAGAGGATAAAAGTTGGGTGGACGCGATGCCGCGTTAAACCATGTATTGATATCCTCCGGTGCTTTAAATGCTTTGGTATTGGTCATTTTCAAAGGGATTGTGAAGGACCGGACCGTAAAGACCTATGCATGAAATGCGGAGAGAGTGGACACAAAGTTAAGGATTGCCCAAAACAGGCAAGATGCTGTTTGTGTGCGCATAAAAATTACAAGGAGCTGAACCATTTTCCTGGAGCGAGCAATTGCGCCGCAAGTTCGAAAAAGGATAAAACATGAAGATACTTCAAGCAAATATGCACAGAAGCCTAGTAGCTGACGCGCTTTTATCCCAGATTGTTGTCGAGCAAGAAGTTGATCTGGTCATAGTTAGCGAGCAGTACAAGAAGAAAGACGATGGCTTATGGCTTGAGGACGACACCAAAACTGCGGCAATATGGGTGCCAGGTACAAGCGATATTCGATACCAAAATGACACCCGGGGAAACGGGTTTGTCCACGTCCGTGTTGGAGAATATACAATATTCAGTTGTTACTTAACACCTACAGATCGGATAAACCTCTTTGATAGCAAGCTTGAAGCCATAGAAGATGCCGCATCGCAAATACATGGAAAGCTTATCATAGCGGGGGACTTTAATTCCAAAGCAGAAGAGTGGGGAATGCCTGTTACAAATTCTAAAGGCCGAAGAGTTTTAGACATGACTGCCAGATTGGGCCTCGTAGTGGCAAACGTTGGCTCAGTCCCGACATTCAGACGTGACAGATGTGAGGGCACGATCCCGGACATAACTCTAGTGTCCGAAACGGCGGCGCATAAAATCGCTGACTGGAAAGTTTTAGACATATTCAACGGTAGTGACCACGAGTATATTACATTCGTTCTGGAGGATAACATCGTTACCAAAGCTGTTGCACAACGAAGTCAGAAATGGAATGTCAACCGTCTGAACAAAACCATTCTGATAAGGGAGATCGACAGGAGAGCAGTCAGAGCACAACACACTGGAAACACCGAAACAAAAGTAAACAGAACTATGTCAGCCATAAGGAAGGCTTGCAATGCTGCAATGCCAAAAATGGGTAACAGGCATAGACAAGGACAAGAAGCGTACTGGTGGACAGACGAAATCAAAACGATGAGGGAAGCATGTATAAGACGCAGGCGACTTCTCACCAGAGCAAGACGACGGGCAGACTTTGAATTCGAAGACCAGCAATACAGAAAAGCCAAGAAAGAACTAAATATTGCGATTCGTAAGAGTAAGATCGAGAAATGGAAAGACCTCTGTAGCGATGTAAATATTGACCCCTGGGGCCTAGGATACAAAATCGTAATGAAGAAGCTGAGGAAACATAACGCGTTACCAAATCTAGACGAAGAACAAATGGACAATCTGGTAGGCGCACTTTTCCCTGCACACCCAATAAGACCCCGAGATGTTACGCGGCCGATAGAGGTCAACCCAGATGAACTATTTACAGAGAGTGAACTGGTAAAGGCTGCAAGAACCCTAAAAAATAGGAAAGCACCAGGTCCGGACAAGATTCCTGCGGAAGTTTTGAAAGAGATTGCTGCAAGCCGACCAAATGTACTGCTCGATATGTACAACGCGTGCATCCAAAGCGGAACATTTCCTGACTGTTGGAAAACACAGCGACTGGTCCTCATAAGCAAGGGTAAAGGGGACCCGGCAACCCCATCAGCTTATAGACCCCTATGTATGCTAAACACAGCTGGAAAACTGTTAGAAAAAATGATCAAGCCAAGGTTAGCAATCGCTATAGAAGATGCTGGTGGCCTCTCCCCCCGCCAATACGGATTCAGACCTGGAAGATCCACGATCGGCGCAATACAAGAAGTGGCGCACGCAGCTATGGTATGCCAACAAGGCAATCATTACTCGCGCCCACTGGTACTATTAGCGACTCTGGACATAAAGAACGCATTTAACAGCGTGAAATGGAGCAACATGATCGACTCTCTCGAAAATCGATTCCGTATTCCCGAGTATTTGATGAGGATGATTCGCAGCTATCTTGAAAACCGAAAGCTATTTTATCAAACGGAAAACGGCGAAAAATGCACCCAAATAACTGCGGGAGCCGCTCAGGGCTCAATACTAGGACCTGAGCTCTGGAACATAAGCTACGACGAAATTCTTAGAATTGAAATGCCCGATGATTCATTCCTAGTTGGATACGCGGACGACATTGTTGCAGTCATCACCGCGCGAACTCTCGAGCATGCACAGAGAAAACTGAACCAGGTAATGCTTCGTGCTAAATGCTGGCTGGATTCTCATGGACTCGAGTTGGCAATGCAGAAAACAGAGCTACTGATTGTCACAAGGCGACAGATACCAATAGAAATAGACATCAAGATCAACGAGGATATTTTAAAGACGCAAAAAGCTATAAAATATCTAGGAGTTTGGCTAGACACTAAGCTGACATTCGGGCCGCATCTCCAACATGCGAAAACCAGAGCAGCAAATGCAACACAATCGCTATGTAGGCTAATGGCGAATGTCGGTGGTCCACTACAGTACAGACGCAAACTACTGATGGAAATAGTAAACGCTATTCTGCTATACGGCTGCGAGGTCTGGGCAGACACATTAAGCGTAGAATGCAGGGCAAAACCACTACTGAGAATCCAAAGAACTGCGGCGTTAAGAATAATTAGCGCTTATCGAACCGTCTCCAAGTCAGCAGCACTTGTTATAGCAGGTGTCAAACCAATTGACCTATTAGCTAGAGAGCGGAAGGATATTTATGAGCTGCGACATGCAGGGCAAGCCGATAGACAAGCAATAGAACGGTGCAAAGAAGAAACGTTAAGAACCTGGCAAGATCGATGGACAAACGAGGATAAGGGAAGGTGGACAGCTAGACTCATCCCTGAAATAAAACCCTGGGTCCAGAGAAAACACGGAGATGTTGACTACTACACCACACAGATGATAACCGGACACGGCTACTTCAGCTCTTTCCTCCATTCCATGGGAAAGAGCCGACAAAGTAGCTGCGTGTATAACGACGCCGAGTACGATACCGTAGAACACACAATATTTCACTGTCAACGTTGGACAGAAAGACGAAATCAACTGTCAGAAAGTGTTGGACAAATTTCGCCTGAAAATATAGTTGGAAAAATGATGCAGAGCGTAGAAAACTGGCACCAAATATCAAGATATGTAAGGGACCTGCTTATCCTTACAAAAAAAGGACTTAGACGAGAGACAATGAAAATGGAATCTTGGGCAGCCTGGACGCAGGTATAACGATGTGAGCGCATGACGCTTAAGGGACCCCACTTTGAAGTAATGCGAAAGCGCTTCCAAAGTGGAGATAGGTCCGTGATGAGGGGGGGTTTTAGTGGGTGCGTGTCCCACATACCTCTCTGCGACGGCAGATCGAGAGATGCATAAGGCATTTCCCCTCCTCAGCCCCAAAAAAAAAAAAAAAAAAAAATTATTATTATTATTATTATTATTATTATTATTATTATTATTATTATTATTATTATTATTATTATTATTATTATTATTATTATTATTATTATTATTATTATTATTATATTATAATCAGTACAAAAGTGTTGCCTACTGAGTGTAAATGTATTAGTGTTAGTATTGTGCTCTTTACTTTATTTACATTTAGGTATGTCCATGGATCAACATATTGGGTAGTTCGACCTACGGCTTTCTTTTATTGTGTCTTTTATTGTAATCAATAAAAACAATTCTATTTGTACTCAGGAATGTTATTGACTTTTTCTTTTTACATTTTTCTCTGCTCGGTAATCCGGAATTTAGTCATTTCGGACATTTGCTGAACACCGTATACTGTATGTTAAAACGTGATTGATTCAAAACTCAAGGAATATACATACATATGTATATAAGTATGTATATGGTTCGATGTGCAGCGATCAGCTTCACATCCACCCTCACCAGCTTTACTGTATTTTGCCTGCTTTTGTGTTGTTGCTATCGTTGCGTCTGCGCCGACATCGGTATCGCCGCCGACGTCGACGTCGCTGCAGCAGCAGCAACATCTTGAGCCATTTGTGCGCATTCGACTTGGCTTTGTGCTGTTTCTGTTTTCAGTCTATCGACGAACGTCTTGAGCGCAGTTACAGAGCGTCGCTTGTCGTTCCCACCACATACATACATACCTGAAAGCCGAAGTTGAGAGCGCGTGTGCGTGTGTGTGTGTGTTACCTGCGCTATTTAGCCTCGCGTTGTTGTTGTTGCTAAATTATTATTTTTTCGAAGCCTTTTTTTCTGTGTCGTTGCCGCAAACTGGTTGGTGTATGTATATATCTCTGTATACAGAGAAGCAACATCGAGAAGAAGCAGAAGAAGCAGCAACTACATACATACATCCACACGTACATAGCTGTGAAAAAGTGGCAACAACTCAAATAATTGAGCGTGTGTGTGCGTGTGTTAACAGTTTTTTTTCGCTGCTAGAGTATTTTTTTTTGTTACTCGGAAAATCGTAACAGTGACAGAAAACAAAACAGGCAGAAACAAGAACAACAACATAAAAAAACAACCGTTTGCGTCTTCAAAAAGAAAAAAAGAAGTAAACAGCAAGAAGCTAACATAACGGCCAATTTTTTGAAATCCGCACGAGGGCAGGAACAGAGAACATAGAACCAGAAGAAGAATTTCAAAGAGAAGAACAAGGAGAAGAGGCAGCAAAGTTAAATAGCAAATAAGAAAAATGCCCTGCTCGGCCGTAACGCTATCAATAGCGACAATCTGCGCGATTATCGCCACAGCTCTGCTGGCGATAGCGTTCTCCACAGACAATTGGCTGCATTATGATGTCAGACGCAATCAGATACAGGTTAGTGTAAACAAAATGCCACCTGCCCCTGCCCCTAATGCTGATGCTGGCACTGCCCCGACTAACGACCGACAATCGACAACTCGACATTGACAACAACAACAACAAATACAACGACAACAAAACCACCAACGCAAACGCAGACGAAGACTGAATCTACAAACACACATGTGTACACACACACACAAAAGTGGATATGTAGATACACACAAACACACACAGATGCTTGCATTTGCAACCTGTATGCATTTTTGTTGCATGCTGTTGTACATGTTGCTGTTGTCCCCAACAAGCAGCAGCAACGGATCAAATAGACTTAAGCCTCCACCAACATTATGCGTAAATGGGGGATCTTCGGCCAATTGTTTGTCGCATTACTTTGTGGGCTTGGCCGATAATGATGTTCTGGTTTCTGAAATTCTTTAATCTGTCTACTGAGAGCACAACATTTAGAACGAAGCATAAGAACTTAGGATCAGAGATCTAAACTGCGCTTTGAAATAATTAGACATGGCCAACATTTGGCCTACAAGTCCAATTGATTATCTATATTTATGTATCGTTTTGGGCATCTATTGTGTACCCGAGAAAACCTGCGTATAATTGTATAATGGGTTCGATGGGTTCGGATATGCAATAGCATTTTAATGCATTCGGTACTGTTGGCCATTCATTGTACGTTCTTTCTTTCTATATTTTCCAACAAGCAATTTTTTCTCCCTTATTTAGTATTACCCTTGAACAGACTATAGGCTTCTTCTATGTTATAGTAAATAATAAAACTAATACTTTTTAAAACGAATTCCGACTGATCCGATATGTGCGACACTATAGTATGTTCTAAAAAACATCTCAAAAAGAAGATGCCAACCAACTACCTATATTTGATTAACGAATACTATAAGATATTGGTATTAATAGTGCGATCAACTTGATTAGATTGGACTAATTAAATAATCTAGGCATATAGAACAGCTTTTTCTTCTTGACTGACTGACTCGCAGCCCAAGCGCCTAGAGCTAGGAAGTTGCAATGAGGACTTTTTTTTGAACGTAGGTGAGCGGTTTTTGAAAATTGTAAACTTCGAAATTTGTATGTAAATTCGGAATTTTTTTGTGGAAAAATTAGAATACGTAAAGGAGTTTGCGGGATTCGAAAATCGAACAAAATGAGAAACAAATAACGGACAAATAACGGATTTTTTTATGGAAAATTGGAATACTTGGAAGCAATAGCAACGTACATCCCAAACGGTAAAAGTTGGTTTCTAAGTAGTATAGAGTAAGTTCTTCAGGACTTATCTTTTTTTGAAATCAACTAACAAACCAACAAGTACTGGTCGGGGCAAGGAGATTTTTGCCTTTCCTTTTCATTTCCTGTCTTCGGGAATAAGTAAATACTTGTGAGAGGCATTTTGGGCTCCACTGTGGAGTCTCAGATCAACAACAACAGCAACAACAGAAGCGCACAAACTGAAGCAGAAGCAGAGAAGCAGCGGTAACAGTCGCGCGTGTTTAGCCAAAGAAGAAAATAAGGGCATGAGCAGCGTGTGAGGCATGAGTAAAGAAGAAAGGTCGAAAGCAAACAGCAACAACAATAACGGCCGTCAGTTACAGCCACATGGCTAGGTGCACTGAGGAGAAGACGGTGGTGGAAGGTGCGGAAGGAAAGGGGTGGGGAGGGGAGCGGAGGCCGTTAACGTTAAAACTTTCTATGCGAGCGCTTAGCCAAGCCAAACGAAAACAACAAAAAAAAAACGGCAACGGCGTCGGCGTTAACAGCGGCATCAACAGCGGCGTCTGCAGCGTGGCGGCAGTCTACAGCCAAGTATCATAATTTCTTTCTCATTTTGCAAGTAATACAAGCACAACAACAACAACTACTACTACTACTACTACAAATGCTTAAACTTAGACGCTAGTAGGTGCAGCTGTGGGGCAAGGGCCCAGAGAAGAGGGTGGGGGCGCTTGGCAATACTGGAATGGAATGCCAATTATCGCGATCGCCACTGAGAGCGTCAATTCAGGTCTGAAGTCGGGCCCAGTCAAGAGCCAAAGTTGAATGCAGAGAGCGCCCAAAACAAGTGTGTATGTACATGTACATATGTATGTGTGTGTATGTGTGCACATACTTCGCATACCAAACAACTTGTAGAGGGGAGGGGCGGGGGGGGGGGGGAGGCCGAGTTGTCGCTCTCGGCTCTAATCCGCGGGGCAAGCGCGGGGCACAGCGCGAGCGCTTCGTGCTGAAATATTTGCACGTTTTTGACTTTGGCGCTTTGATTTTTAATTTATTTTATTTTCACTTGGCGCTCGCTCAGCTCACAAAAGGTTACCCCGACAGTGTTGAAAGACTTCGGCTTTGTACCTTCAAGTCGTCCAATGGGGCGCATCATCAGCCCGAAAGTTGTATGAAAACCGCAGGCGTAGAAAACTAAACAAAAAATGTTGACAATAGCCTCGAGACTGTGTCAAGATCGTAAATAATTGCTGATTATGTTTGGGAATAACATAAGTTATCGATAACCTTTCATGTACCACTGATGGGCTTACAAGTTACAATTAATTAATAATTTAATCAATCAATAATAGTTCTAAGTGCTCTATAGGGGCAACAAATCTTTTAATAAATAATACTCAATACTATGAGGTCTAAAACTTGTATTAATCTCTGTTCTTATTGTTCGCACAATTCCAACTCTAAAATTTTGGAAATAAAAAAAACTTTTCAAGAAAAACTTTTCAAAGAAAATGTTAAAAAGAATTTTGAAATATGTTGGAATATGACAGTTTTCACTTTTAAAACATACTATCTAGAGCATCTGAACATAGTTTTTATTTTCGTTGAATCAGGAATATTTAATCCATCGCATCAAATCAGTGGACACAGTGGGGCCTTTGAGTAAATTAAGAACAGAAATAAGCCTAGCTTTGAAGGAGCAACGATATCGGCATGCTGTTGGAGCATTTATAAAGTCGTTAGAACTGAGTGCCATATAATTAAGGGAATTATTTATGTTTCGTTGATTTGTTACGCCGGCCGTTCAAGAAGCAGGAAAGAAGCCAACGTTTCAAATCAATTGTTTCCATTCGCTTCAAGAGGATAATGTTAAGGCCGGGCGGGCAATTTGAAATCCATTTGCTGTGGTTCACTAATTAACGTTTTGAGAAACCGACAGACTTCCGATTAGCTCTGGTTCCATGAATCATAAGGGCGGCAATTGCTGTGAGGGTCTGTTTAAAATCACACACCTAGGGTATCTTTTATGTGTGTGGCATGGTTTGTGTTTGTACTTAATACTAATGGACACTGATTTCATTTAAATAGAAAATTTATAAATGTTCAATGCTGCACAAGCAGGGTGCAATAATAGCCCGATAAGGGAAGCCGCTGTGGAAAGCTTCAAAGTCTTTGAAAGTTACCTTCGCCTCTGAAAACTCATGCTCTTAACATTGGGCGAATTTGAAAAAGAAAGTTATTTGAGAAGTACTTCGGTCATTAATACAAGGTGTGCTATGGAAAGCAATGTATTTAATAAATTTTTTGAAAACATTTTCCTTGATCCCAGCACATCGGATTATTTTTATCTTGTTATATCGCTTTTTAATTGTGTTTCGATCAGATTATTTTTCTAACTTATATTTCAAAGCGAACCGTTTGCGATGCCATTAAGCTTATAAATATTAATCTCCTCTTTAAAGAGGACTTCTAGAAAGTCGAACCTACAAATGTAAGTAACAGAAGCAGCCATAAGAACGATCTACATGAAGATAAATACCAAAATTGTTCTAGTCTTTTACTGATATGCTGATATGGTTTTTTTGCAAAATCAATGCTATATGTAAACGATTTGTGCAATGCGGATAATACAGGATATTACTGCTTTCGTTTAAAATGTAGCCACACTGTATGCTTTAGGTTTTTGAATATTCAAGAGATTTCCAAGTCTATTTCTGAAATCCAATACAATTTTATAGCTATTAATCTCTAGCAATTAGGTTCTCATTGTTAGTTTTTTGAAAAATATGTTTTTTTTAATATTCAATTTTTTTTAATATTAAAAAAATGATTTGTTTTAATTGTTAAAAAATATTTCTATTTGTGTCTATTTCTGAAATCCAATACAATTTTATAGCTATTAATCTCTAGCAATTAGGTTCTCATTGTTAGTTTTTTGAAAAATATGTTTTTTTTTAATATTCAATTTTTTTTAATATTAAAAAAATGATTTGTTTTAATTGTTAAAAAATATTTTTCATGTATGTTCATATTTTTCAATTTTTTGTACACGGCCTGCAGCTTATATTATCAAAAAAATGCTGAAATCGAACATTTCCATTTCCCCCATTTCGGGCCCTATTTGAATATCAAATAAAACAAACTCCGTTCACCATCCTCAACATTAATCAATGAATTGTGAGCTACCATAACAGAGCAAACAAGTATATATATTTCTGCAATTCACTTAATAATTGTCTCAAAGATAGCGAAAATAAAGCTTGAGTCTCAGGAACTGTTTAATTATGGCAGTTTCATTTCTTAGAATAGTTGCACGTCTTTGTTCTTTGGAAGATGCAACAAAGACAACAACAACAACAACAACCTCACTAATGGAGTTTATAGACCACTGTTGTGCACTGTTGTTGGCTCTTTAGCTTCTGGCCATTCTGCTTAATTCTTGTTGCTGTACCTGTCTGCATGCCAAAAGCAACATCTTTGTGGCTAAGCTGTGTATTATACTTGTATGTAGCTACGCCCCAGAACCTCACTCTCTCTTTATATCTCTTTGTCACTCTCTCGGTTATTCTCTGGCGCGCTCTCTTTCTCTCTGTCTCTATGTTTCTTGTAGCTGTAAACTGGTTTTGAGTTTTCACTCGTTTTGCGTTTGATGTTGTTGTGGTCGAGTCGCTTAAAATTGGTATGTTGTACGCGCCTTAACTTGTTCCCCAAGCTGTGGCCCCTCGCCATGTTGGCCATGTTGGCGGGCAGCCCTAAGTTGC